AATACCCAGTAGTGCGATTGTTGGGTCATAGGGTAGCTCTGTTCTTAACATCTTGAGGATGTTTTCCAGAGTGGCTGCACCAGCTTGCATTCCCACCAATAGTGCACGAGAGTTCCCCTTTTTCCACATCCTCACCAACATTTGTTGTTTCTTGTTTTAATTTTTGCCATTCTAACTGGTGTAAGGAAGTATCTCATTGTGGTTTTGATTTGTATTACCCTGATGGCTAGTGATGTTGAACATTTTTTCATGTGTCTCTTGGCCATTTGTATGTCTTTTTTAGAGAAGTATTTGTTCTTGCCTTCTGACCATTTTTTGACCACTCCCTTATATGATACACAAAGATAAACTCAAAATGGATGAAATACCTCCATGTGAGATAGGAAGCCATCAAAATCCTAGAGGAGAACATAGGCAGTTACCTCTTCGACGTCAGCCACAGTAACTTCTTTCAAGACATGTCTCCAAAAACAAGTGAAACAAAAGTGAAAACGAACTTCACTTTTGGGACTTCATCAAGATAAAAATAATAAGATATTTTTATTTTATATATATTTTATTTTAAAATATATAATAATAAATATAAAATAAAATGATATAAAATAATATAATACAATAAGAATAAAATATATTTTATTTTAAATTTACTGTTAATATAAAAGTCTTCTGCACAGCAAAGGAAACAGTCAAGAAAACTAAGAGGCAACCCATGGAATGGGAGAAGATATTTGCAGATGACATTACAGATAAAGGGCTGATATTCAAGATCTATGAAGAACTTCTCAAATGCAACACTCAAAAAACTATTAACCCAGTCAAAATTTATACTAATTTTAAATTTGGGGCTATGCAGAGCAATTCTTATCTTCTTCCTTAATACAGCCCTTTATATACTTCTGTAGACAGTCCTCAGCATCCTCCCTAACTTCAATTTCTGCAGGGAAAACATTGCCAGTTGCTCAGATTTATTTCTCTACCTTTACAATAGATCTTCCCAAAAGCCACAACTTATTCACACACCTCCTTAAGGCATGGGTCACAGGTATAAATTCTACATTCCAAAGAAAGTTTGAAATTTGCCCCACTGGAGAGGATAGGCATCAATCACCTCTATTTATCCTGCCAACATAGCTTCTAGGATGGAGTCTAAGACCGGCATCCCCGCTTTAAGAATTTAATGAATATTAATTGAGTTCCTACCAAATGCTTGGCACAATGATTGATGCTGGATATATACTAGTGGACAAAATAAAAAAGTCTCTGCTCTTACAGACTACCAGGGGGTAGCAGACAATCATCAGGTAAGTAGATAAGTGTTTTTGAGAAGTGAGAAGTACAATAAAGAAAAGCCCACTAAGGAGTCCCTGAAGAATGGCTGCATTTCAGACAGGATGGTGAAGGAGTTTTCTGATGAGTGACAGTTGGGCAGAGATGTGAAGGAAGAAAAAGAACTCACCCTAAAGAGATCTGGCAATGGAGAGCATAAGTTCTGGATGTTGTGGCAAAGGTCTTTAACTGAAAGTCTAGTTGGCCATTGTTGGACTAGAAAAGATGATAGTGTGGTTTTTGTGGAGTGAGCCAAGGAGACAGTAATGGGAGATGAGATTCAAGAGTTAGAGCATGTAATGAAAAATTCGGAGTTCAGTTTTGGACATAAGAAGTTTGAGGAGCCTATTAAACATCCATGGGCAGAGTTCAAGTAGGCATTTGGATACATGGAATGCAAGTGGACCATCTGGGCAGGAGATATAAATATGGAGATGTACTTAAGCCAGAAGATGGGCTGGTTTCAGACACTTCTGGTTCTTGTCTCACTTGATATCTATGCATAATTGGCTACAAAGACTACCCTCTCCTTGCAGACCTTGTCTCTCCCTGGGTTTCTGTGTCACATGTCATCCATCTTTGGCCCCTCGATACCTTCTCCTCTGGATTCTGTCCTTGAAGCCAGCTCCTAAATGTTGTGGCTTTTCAGAGTTCTGCTGTCAGCTGTCTTCTTGCTCTCTACACACTCTCCCTGGGTGGTCTCTTCTGATGGCTTCAGTTCCTACAGAAGTGCTGAGGACACTCAGATTCCTGTCCTCAGAACTTTCTCTTCAGCTCTCAATCATCAGCCCAACGATCCTAGGAGTCTCCCAAGTTCCCTGAGTCCAAAACTAGACTCACCATGTGTCCTCTTCACCTGCTTCCCAAACTTCCCACTCCTATGCTCCCAACCTCAGTGAATGACACCATCACTCACCCATTTACCCAAAACTGGAACTCATTCTTGACCCATCTTTCTTTCTCACCACTCCCTAATCACTTACCTACTTCTGTAGATCCCACTTCCTAAAGACTCTTGTCTAATACTGACCTTTCATGTCAATAGTCACTGCCATGCTCATTCTTTCCTCCCTGAATAACTGCAGTCTTCACACTGCAGCCAGAGTGATTGTCTGATGTCAGAAATAAGTCTGATGTCACGTCTGTTTGGTGTATCCTTATCTTAACCAACTGAGCCACCCAGGCATCCCTTCCTTATCTTATTCTCTATAAAATCCACCCTTGTTAGCCTGTTTTGCAGGGCTTGATAGGTCCTCTGTGCTCTGTCCTTGCCTACCTCTTATCACTCTCTGGCTAGCTTACGCTGCATGACTTCACACAGATGACTCTCTCTGTCTGGCATATCCTTTTCTGCACTTCCCCTGTGTTTAGTTAGGATCTACCCACTCTTCAAAGACCAGCTTGACTCTTACCTCCTGTAGGATGCCTTCCATAATTCTCCAGATTGAGTTAGGCTCGTTGTAGCAAGCTGCCTGCTGTCAAAAGAAGGAAGTATGGTGTGTTTCTCCAGGCTTTAGTTTGTCAGTTCCTCGTCCAAAATCCCAGTGGCTTCAGCCACTGCCAGGCTTGCAGTAAGAGAGAGATGAAGCGAGGGGCAAGATAGTCCTGAGTTGACTGGTACTGTCTTGATAATCTAAAAATTGTGCTTCCAGTTCTTCTTTGGTATTTTTTTCTCTAGAGAGGAAGAAGGTTTAGGGAAGGGGAGAGGGAGAGAGAGAATCCCAAGCAGACTCTACACCCTGCACAGAGCTTGGGCTTAATCTCACAATCCGAGATCATGAACTGAGTGGATATCGAGAGTCAGACGCTTAACCAACTGAGCCACCCACGCGCCCTCTTCACTGGTATTTAAAGATAATTCCTTTCCTTATGGAATTCTTTCATTGCTACTGGTTTTAAAAATCCTGTCTGATAATCTTTGACTTTCAGTGGGCTTGCTTAGTAAAATACATATAATGTGGTTACTATTGTAATTATTTTTGGGTCTATCATCTTACTACTTGTTTCCTATTTGTTCCAAGTGTTCTTCATTTCTTCATTCTACTTTTCCTGTTTTTTTAAAATTAATCAAAAACTTATATTCTGTATTGTATTTTGAGTTTTACTATTTTTAAAAGAATTATTGTTTTGTTATTCTAGAACAGGGATTGGTAAACCTTACATTTTAAAAAAGGTTTTAAAAATACAAAAAAATATGCTGTAGTGTATTTTGCACAGACTGTATTCTTTACAAAGCCCAAAATATTTATTCTCTGGCTCCTTACAGAAAAAGGGTCCTGACATCTGATCTAGAGACTAAAATATGCATATTTGATTAGTATAACCTCACCTAAATTGCCATTTCCCAAACAATGTAAAATCTAACAAGGGTTTCCATCTATGTTCTCTTCCTACTCTTTGGACAATTTTTGTCATATATTCAACTTCTACGTGTATATGTAAGCTCCAATAATGTGTTGCCATTTTTGTTGCTTTAAGCAATATTCTATAATATTTACCCACACATTTATGATTCCTGGTGTTCATTTTTTTTCTCTCAATTGCACACTTCCATCAGGGATCATTTTCCTTTAACCTAAAGAAGCTCTTTAATATTTCTTTTACTGTGAGTCTTTTAATAACTAATTATCTGGGTTTGTTTTGTTTTGTTTTGTTTTGTTTTTGGTGTGGGGAGAACAAACAGCTTTCATTTCTTAAGGATATATTTATTGAGTATAGTATCCTAGCATGGTAGTTTCTTTCCCTCCCTCCCTCCCTTCCTCATTCCCTCCTTCCTTTCCCTTCCTTTTCTTTATCTCTGTCTCTGTCTCATGTATTATCCACTGCTGGTCCATGGAAACAAAAGACTTTCACTTTTCATGGAGTATAATTTCTTTCCAAATAATACTTATTTTCTGGATTGAGTCAGATATCTAATAACTATGTTTTTAAATTTCTAGAGTACCTATCAAGCTATTCAGGTAGTCCCACTGAAGCCCATTTGATAAGAGCTTCAAACAAGGGGCAGAAATCTTCATTTGGTATGAAACTCACAACAGGTGCTAGATCCTCAAATGTCCGATTAGTTTTTTGACCACTTAGAAATCCTTTATGAGCCACATGAATTGTGCAAGTTCATGAAGTGCAGAAGACAGTTTTGAACCCTCCTTTTATAAGTTCTACATTTTGAAGTGTGAAATTTATTATCTGTGATCTCAGAATAAACTGGGATTAAGTAATACAATATTAACATGCTCTTTCATATAAAATGGAAGTTCTTTAAAAATTTTTGGTCCTTGGTTTTGTGGGTGTCCTAATATGCACTTATTTTGCTACTGATATTTGCCACTTCTTCTCTTTAAAGATTTTTAAATTTATTTTAGGGAGAGAGAGAGAGAGAGAGAGTGTGTGTGTGTGTGTGTGTGTGTGAGCAGGGGTTTGTGGGGGCAGAATGAGAAGGAGAGAGAATCTTCAGTGGATTCCCTGCTGAGCGTGGGGCCCAATGCAGGGCTTGATATCAAGACCCTTAGATCATGACCTGAGCTGAAACCAAGAGTTGGACACCTGACCAACTGAGACACCCAGGCACCCTGGTACTTGACATTTCTAATAAAAGAGTAGCATCAGGGTTTGAATCTGGAAACTTTATTTTATGAATGATTATGGCTCTATTCTTTCTCTATACCAGGAGAAGGATGCAAGACTTGCTCGGGGGAAACCATAGCTCTTTTACTGAGTTTATTCTTTTAGGATTTTCTCATAACAAAGAGATAAATGTTATTCTATTCAGCATCTTCCTCTTCCTCTACCTCATCACCCTTCTGGGCAATGGACTCATTATCACCTTGATACGCATGGACTCCCGCCTCCACACACCTATGTACTTTTTCCTCAGTGTCCTATCCATTATGGATATGGGCTATGTCACCACCACAGTGCCCCAGATGCTGGTACACCTGGTTTGCAAGAAGAAGACCATCTCTTACATTGGATGTGTGGCCCAAATGTACATCTTCTTGATGCTAGGAATCACTGAGTCTTGGCTCTTCGCAGTCATGGCTTATGACAGGTATGTGGCCATTTGCCATCCCCTGAGGTATAAAGTAATCATGAGCCCTTTGCTCTGTGGGTCAATGGTGGCCTTCTGTGGATTCTGGGGTATCAGCTGTGCCCTGATATACACTGTCTCTGCTATGATTCTTCCCTATTGTGGTCCCAATGAGATCAATCACTTCTTCTGTGAAGTACCTGCAGTCTTAAAGTTAGCCTGTGCAGACACATCTCTCAATGATCAGGTGGACTTCATCTTGGGCTTCATCCTTCTCTTGGTTCCACTCTCCCTCATCATCATTGTCTATATCAATATTTTTGCTGCCATCTTGAGGATTCGCTCAGCCCAAGGGCGGCTCAAGGCCTTTTCCACCTGTGCCTCCCACATCACTGTGGTCACCATGTTCTCCATACCATGTATGGTTATGTACATGAGACCTGGTTCTGAGTCTTCCCCAGAAGAGGACAAGAAGTTGGCTCTATTCTACAACATCATCTCTGCTTTCCTCAACCCCATCATCTATAGTCTTAGGAACAAAGATGTGAAGAGGGCTTTCCTCAAAGTGACTGGCTGGGGCAAAGCACCAGAATGAAGTCACAGAAGCATGGGCACCAGCACCAAACCTGGGACACAACCTACTGACTTCTCCATCCAAATTCTTTCCAATATCCAGTAGGCACATATGATATATTAATGGATTAGACCCAGTAAGATCATAACATGAGAAAACCCAGAAGGTTATGGCAGTAGGTTTCCCTCAAGCATAAAGACCTCAGACAGGGGACTCCATAAAGGCACACCTATATTTGATTCATTTCTGTATGACCAGTTTACAAGACCTGGCATAAAATTGGCACCAATATTCATGTTTTCTGTCACTGAATGAACATGAACATGAGTGCTTGAGCTCTGGACTCATGAAATAAATTGAAATTGATGGGCATAAGTGACTTCCAGCCTTCTAAGTCAGTGACACCATTGTAGCTCGGAAGGGATTTGACAAGTTCTGGAGACAGAATAGTTTAAGAAAGTCAATGGTGATCATATAAAATAGGGTTCAGGAAAGTAATACAGGTTACTTTTCATTCAATACTATTAGAAGAGTATGAATTTAGGTCACATAAGTCCTCATGTCACTAAAAGAAGGAACTCTGTCTCAGTGAAGTGATATTTGAAGGGGAAAGTAGGATCTCCTAACAATTGGGAAAATCTCCCACTCAGACACTTTCATAATGTATTCTCAACCTTACTGAAGTACATTGACATATAGTGAACTGTAGATATTGAAAGTATACAATTTGATGAGTTGTGAAATACATATATACTTGTGAAAACATCACCATGATCAAGATCATTATCATCAACATCCCCCAAAATTTCCTTGTGACTCTTGGCAGTTCCTTTGTATTAGTTACCTATCAGTGTGTAAAAAATTACCCCCATTTTTTGTGGTTTAAAACAACAAACGTTTATTTTTTTGTAGTTTCTTTGGGTTAAGAATCTGAGTGAAGTTAGATGGATCCTCTGGATTAGGGGGTTCTCACAAGGCTGCAATCAAGTCACCAGCTACAAAAATCCTAACACTTAACTGGGGAAGGATCTTCTTCCAAACTCCCCTGATTGTCACCAGGATTTAGTTCCTGGCTCTTGGACTGAGAGTCTCATTTTCTTCCTGACAGTTGTACAGAGCATTCATTAGTTCCTTCCATGTGGGCCTCTCCTTGGAGCAGCTCACCACCTGGCAGCTGGCTTCATCAGGGAGGTCATGAGCAGGAGTGAGCAAGGATCTTTTGTAACCTAAATTTGAACATGATTTCCCATCACTTTCAGGGTATTTATGAGAAGCTCACTACTAGGTCAGCCCAAACTCAAGGGCATGGGATTACCCAAAGGCATGACTACCTGAGTCCTGGGGATATTGATTCAATCACAGCTTCTCTTTTGAGATTTAGACTCTTGCTAATCAAGGAAGGGTCTGGGGATTAGCATCACCAGCATCACTCAGGAGTTAAGAAATGCAGAAGCCATTCCTCCTCCCACTTGGTTTAGCAAAAGTGGCCAGGAGGCAATCTCAGCTTCTAATTAATCAGAACCATAGATCTCCTCCCTGATGAATGAATTCCTTCTTTGAACACAACTTCAAAGTTGTAGGGACAGGAAGCAAAAATTTCTATGGGAAGCTTTTTATATTGGTGAGAGGGACAACTCCTGTTACATCTCCTCGCTCCTGGATCTGTGCCTTCTCTTTCTCACCATAGAGTGACTACTGGTGTTAGTCATAAAGTGCATTCTGTAAGATAGCACTACAACCTTACAAAATGTTGTCCCCCAAATGGCATGATAATCGAAACTTAAATCAGTAATTCCACAATCCTCTTAGGCCCAGGAGTTTCTGAGTGTTTGGGCACAATGGGAGTCCACTGAATTCTGTGAGTAAGTTGACTGTCACACTTTTTACACTTGATCTTAGCCAAAAGGCCAAGAAGCAATTGACAGTCACACATTTTGAGATAAAGTGTATATCTTGTTCAGAGAGGATGCTGCATGGGTACTATGGCAATGGATGACAGATGCCATCAGACCATTAATGGTGAATCGTCAGAGATGCGTCAACTAGGAAACCTGAATATGCGTCTATCTCTGGGAGGACAGACTGCAGCCCCTTCGTGATGGAAAGTATCTAATGTAATTTATGTGTCACCAGGTTAACTGGAAGCTCTCTCAGGGAATGGTGCCACATCAAAGGCTCAGCATCTGTCTCTTCTGCTGGAGTATGGCACACAGCAGTGGCAGTGGCCATCTCAGCCTTGGTGAGGCTGACTCCATGCAGCTGAGTCCACAAATAGTCTCTGTTATGCTGCAATGGCTGGAGCAAGCACTTGTGTGGTTCAGGAAAGAGGCTGACCAATCTACAGGTGGATCATCTAGTCTATCTGATTATTGAGAGACACTCCCCACACTAGATGCTCAGTTTGCATATGTATGTATCACACAATTATGTTCATATTCTGGGTCATGGAGAAGCACATTCACATGACTTCCTCTGGATCCCACATCGTTAATCCTCCAATCTTCTTCTTTCCAAGTTTCTGGCCACCCTTCCATCCCGTTAGCAACTGCCCATGAAATAGTGTATAGCCACAATGAGGGGCCTCCCTCATTCCCTGTAAAGTAGACAGCCAGATATACCATCTAAAATTCGACTCATGGAAACAATTTTCTTTTACCATACTCAGTGCTGCCTTAAACTAGGCCTTTCCGTCCTCTGTTAAGTAGCTATAGGGCATTTCCAATGGGGCTGAGGGAGAGGCAGTAAAGTAGGAGCAAGAACCATGGGAGACTTGGTGAATACTTATGAAGCTCACCACCTAGATCTCAGATTGTATATAAAATTTCCATTTTAGAATAGAATTCTTCTGTGTGTGTCCAGTTGGAAGATTCCATGGATATGATAACACAGTTTATAATGGGCCGTTTTGTCTGTCTTGTCATGTGATGACCCATAGTTAGGTTTTCAGTTTCTACCAGAACATTGGAGCTATTAAAAAAAAAACCAACATTTTATTTTGAAATAATTTACAATTCACAAGAAGTTGCAAAAAATAATAAATTGAGCTCTTGGGTACCCTTTATCCAGCTGTCCCATAATAATGACATCTATGACTGTAGTACATTATCACATCCAGTAAACGGACATCAGCACAATATTAATAACTAACCTATAGACATTATTAGAATTTCACCACTTATTACCTCTACTCATTTTTGGGGATATATGGTCTTATGAATTTTATTAAATTCATAGCTTCATATAACCACGATAAGGATACAAAACTGTTCCATTACCACAGAGAAATCTGGCACTGATGGCCACTGATCTGTTTTTCTGTCACTTTAATTTTGAGAATGTTACACAAATGGAATCATGAAGTCTGTAACTTTTTAAGGCTAATTATTTTTAAAACCCAGCCTGATGCCTTTGAGATCCATCTAGATTGTTGCACATATCAGTAGTTTGATCCTTTATATTGCTGAGTAGTATTCTCTTGTACGGAGGTACCAGAGTTTATCCATTCACCTGTTGAAGCATATTTGCATTGTTTTTAGTTCTGGGCTATTATGATTAAATTTGCTATGAATATTTGTGTAAAGTTAAAAATAGTAAGTTGTTTTTCCCTAGAATAAATTCCCAGGAATGTGATTGCTGGAGTCATATGATATGTGTATGCTTATAACAATATTCTAACCCAAACCACAATGACATACCATTACATACCTACTGGGATGACTACAATTTAAAAAACTACATTAACAAGTACTGATGAGGATGTAGAGAAATTGAAACTCTTACACATTGCTAGTAAGAATGCAAAATGGTACTGCTGCTTTGGGAAATAGTATGATAGTTCTTTAAAACGTTAAACATAGAGTTATCATAGGATCTGTCAATTCCACTCCTAGATGTATATCTAAGAGAAATGAAACATATATGTTTAACAAAAACTGGTATATGAATATTCCTAGCAGCATTATTCATAGTAGCCAAAAAGTGGAATCAACTCAAATGTCTATCAACTGAATGGGTAGATAAAATGTGGTTTATCCATACAATGAAATACTACTTTGCAATAAAAAGGGATGAACAGTTGATAAATGCTAAATGGATGATTCTTGAAATCAGTGAGAAAAGCCAGTCAGAAAAGTCTGTGTATTATTCAGTTCCACTTATATAAAATATCTAGGACAAGCAAATCTATAGACAGAAAGTAAATTAGTAGTCATTGGGCAGACCTAGAGATAAAAGCAGGGTGATAAGGAGTGATTGCTAATGGGTTTGGAGTTTCTTTTGGGGGTGATGAAGATGTTCCTAAATTGCATTGTGGTGATAGTTACACAATCCTGTGACTATAATAAAAACCACTGAATTAACACAGTTCAAGTACGTGAGTTTTATGGTATGTAAATTATATCTCAATACAGCTGGGTTTTTTTTTGTTTTGTTTTCTTAATTTTTTTTATTGTGTTATGTTAGTCACCATACAGTACCTCAATACAGCTATTTTTTTTTTAAAAAAAGCATATACCAAACTGTTTTACAGAGATGCTGTACAGTTTTACATTCCCACTAGCTTTGTAGGAGAGATCCCTTTACTCTGCATCCTTTCCAGCACTGTGGTCAGTATTTTTTATGTAAGTCAATATACCAGACTAAACAGTGTAATAGTGGAGTGATACCTCTCCATGGCTGTAATTTGCTTATGATTAATAGCTCGTGATGTTGGGGAGTGTTTGGGTGGCTCAGTCTGTTAAGTGTCTGCCCTCGGCTCAGTTCACGATCTCAGGGTCCTGGGATGGGCCCTGCACTCAGTAGGGAGTATGCTTCTCCCTTGCCCTCTGCCCCTCCCCCTGCTTGTGCTCTCTCTGTCTCTCTCAAATAAATAAAGAAAATCTTAAACAAAAACAAAAACAAACCCTGGAATATGGCTGGTTGAAGAGAATTTTTTTTTTTCCTGCAATGCTCTAGCCATAGCATGGACTTAGGGAAAATTCTGGCTGACATACAGTCAGGATCTGGACTAATGACTAGTACTT